TCCCAAGTAGCTGGGACCACAGGCGCCCGCCACAACGCCCGGCCATTTTTTGGTTGCAGCCATCATTGCTTTGGCGGGCCCAGGCTGGGGATTCGAACCCGCCACCTTAGGTGTATGTGGCTGGTGCCTTAGCCGCTTGAGCCACAGGTGCTGAGCCCTCCACATGATTTTGAAAAACATTTGATCAAGTTATGGAAAGAAAAATCTCCATTACGGTCCTTTTGTTGAATGTTTATAAGTGGGGATAATTGACCAGTTTACATAAATTAATATTTTTATCAAATCTTTATATTAGCAAATGTTTGAAATTTTAATGTTTTAAAAGCCAAATCCTTTTTCCTATAAAAATCAAAGATATGTCTTCTAGTATTTAAGAAAAGATATGTAAAAAATGTAAATGATTTGTTTAATTTGTTTTATTTCAGATATGTTTCCTCATTTTTGCTATTCTCTACATTGTTTCCTACTTCATCATCTTAAGATACAAGAGAAAATCAGGCAAGTAGAAACATTTTAATTAAAACCTTTATTACGATGCCAAATGGCTTAGGCATGGTATATAGTGTCCATCAGTGATGTTAGCATGGCTGAATAATGATGATGGGGGTGATGTGCTGAATATGCTGGTGATTGAAGTAAGCGGTTGCCTTTTACTAAGAGCACTAAAAATAACCTCCAGGGAATTTGACTACTCTTAGGAACATCCTCTTACACCAGAGTCCTTACTTGTTACAATTCTTATATGCAACTAAGAATAGTGTGGTGATATTTAGTATCTGTGAAATTCCAGAGTTCATGAGGATATTTGGCTCCTTGTGACCAGCTCTGACTTGAAGCATTCTACTTACCTTTAGCTGTCCCTTTTCTGAATGCTGGAATATCTTTCCTTCTTTAAAGTGGTGTAGAATTTAGAGTCTCCATAATATTATTCAGTATCCAGTTTTATAGAATTTTGTGTTACTCTTTTTGATCTCATATATATCGTTATCTAGCCAGAGGGATCACCATATATTTATTCTTTTTTTGTTTTTTTTAGAGACAGAGGCTTACTATATTGCCCTTGGTAGAGTGCCGTGGCGTCACAGCTCACAGCAACCTCCAACTCCTGGGCTTAGGTGATTTTCCTGCCTTGGCCTCCTAAGTAGCTGGGACTACAGGCACCCATCACAGCGCCCACCTATTTTTTGTTGCAGTTTGGCTGGGGCTGGGTTTGAACCCGCCATCCTCGGTATATGGGGCTGGCACCCTACTGACTGAGCCACAGGTGCCGCCTCATATCTTTATTCTTTTTTAAATGAACTTTGTGCTTGTTATTGTTAATTCAGTACCTAAGAAATTGCCTTACCTTTTTCTAAATCTCAGCTATTTTCTAGATATCACAGGGTTATCTGCCTGTGATGTGAGGCTAATGGTAGGGACTGTATGAATACTTAAGGATTTCTTGGTGTGTTATTAATTTAATACATTGACTGCCATCCTAGAAAAAAAAATCTTTTTCCCTGGGACCATGATGTTTTATTGAGAAAATAGAATGAAAACTTCAAAAATAAATTAATCCTTTCCAGTTATGAAAAATGTTATTTTTGGGGGTGGCACCTGTGGCTCAGTGAGTAGGGCGCTGCACCCATATAGCAAGGGTGGCAGGTTTGAATCCGGCCCTGACCAAAAACCTGCAACAAAAAAATAACCGGGCATTGTGGTGGGCGCCTATAGTCCCAGCTACTTGGAAGGCTGAGGCAAGAGAATTGCCTAAGCCCAAGAGCTGGAGGTTGCTGTGAACTATGTGACACCAGGGCACTTTACTGAAGGCAATAAAGTGAGACTCTGTCTCTAAAAAAAAAAAAAAGGGTTATTTTTGAATTCTCTGTGTGTGAGTTACGTGCAGCTCACGTGGCACTAAGAATCAGTCTGCACTGCACACCACATGAGTTGTGACTCATGACATGTTTATTGAAGTTGTTTTGCCAACCAAGTCTTTTGTCATTCCACAAGTTTTTGTGTCTGAGGTGGAGCTTGGGTGGTCCTGGATGAGGACCTTGAGTTATACCACCTACGTATGTGCAATAGGGTCATGTCACCATTGATTTGGTTAAAAGAGATTCCAGGCAAACATTCAAGGTGAAGTGTACAATCAGAAATTACGGTAATTAGAGAATACACCTGTGTGCTTGGGTGGCTGGCTGGAGCCGGGCACGGGAGGTGGGGAAATGCGCTGATTGACAGCAAAAAACAATGAGCAGAGGTTTCACAGCTTCATGAGGTCCTGGGCTCAAAACTAGTGTGAGTTACATACAATTCACATGGCAGTTAATGTTGTAAACTTGTCGGAGTTTTAAGAGAAATAAGGAGCAGTGCTTGCCCTAGTGTGTTACTTGGTGTGTGACTGCACTGAAATGCTCCTTCACTTCCATAGTCTCACAACGTTCCAAAGCCCTGGAGATCTAAGATAGTATCTTAGCTGTTTTTCTTAAAGCTATTTTGGTATGATTTCATAGCATCTGTGAACAAAAGGAGGGGAAGAAAGAATTAATGAACATAAATGCATTCTTTTAAGGGAAATTAGGGGATGAGTAGTGGGAAAATTGGAGATTTATCACGTGTTTTTAGAGTAATCTAGGAGTGGTAAGAGAGTGATGAGGAGACCCTGGGAACAGATGTGGTGTGTTCAGAGAGAACCAAGGTGAATCTGGAAACATCAAGATCTTCTTTAAGATTTGGTGATGGTTGGATGTTGGCATAGCAGTGTAAAAATTAATCATGACTGTGTCATTTTGTGGTCCCTTTGGTCCCTATTCTGGGCATACGGTAATGAAACATGTTGACTGGTCTAACAGAACGGCCCAAATACAGATTGATACTGGACCAGATTGGCACTTAGAATCCCAGAGCCCTAAGGAGAGAAGGAGGACATTCGGGGTGTAAGGAGGACCAGGAGTATTTGCAGTATTCTCGTTACAGAGTGCAGTCTCTTTAGCTGCTAAGTTTATGTGGGAGGATGAGAGATGACTGACAGGAATGAGAGAGGGAGAGGGGAAGGTGAGCACTGGAGTGAATGCTGGCTGCTACTTTAAAAAGATACAGAAAACAATATATTTGTGTGTGTAACTCAAACAATAATTATGAATTATTGAGGCAGTGGTGTCCAAGGTTATTTTAGATGTTCTAAGATAATCTTCATTATTACCATTACTAGTAACAAATTACAGAAAATGGGATGAGTTCAAAGATTCTGGATTTTAATTTTATAGTAAAAACTTTATTGGATATTATCAACCAGGAAATTTTACTCATTTAGTCATTAGCAGTTTCACTTAACATTGTATAACAATATATTTCATAGTGGTCCTAAGGTTCTATTAAGTTTTATTTTTTGAGCATTAAGTATGTTAGATTTAACTTACATATGATAGTTTTGTTAATGTGGATTTTTGATTAATTGCAACATTCCATTTTCTAAGCATATACCGTCCTAATTAATTTATTGAGATTTAAATTTTGATCTGTGCTGACATGAACACATTGCTGTTTGAAAAATCACTTCTGTTCAATAATTGCTTTTTAAAGTTTATATTTTTAATAAATCAGTGAAACATTTTGTTAAAGATGAAGGCATTATTAATACCTTAAACATTTTTGCAGATGAACAAGAAGATGAAGATGCCATAGTCAACAGGATTTCGTATGTATTTTAAAATTCATTTGTTTCTAATTCTGAAGTCATAAATTCTCAAACCTCGATTTTAATTTTTGCACAGAAATATGGAAAACATTCACTTAAAGCATTTCAACACATTTGTCAATGTTCTATTATTGAGAAGCACAAATAAGCAAATATACAGGGATGTTTGAGGATTGAGTATCTTCTGTTAAAATTTGTTTATTTAAGGAGCTGATAGATTTTGCCTTCAGAGGATTTAATGAGGAAGTGGGCTTAAGTTTGGGAAAATTACAGGACCATAAGAAAGAAAACATGTGGCTGTTTGATCTTGGGCCAGAAAGCAAAAATCTCTGGTTAATTGAAACTCTACCTGCTGTGAGCGAGGAGATGGGCTCAGATTGTCCTTCAGGTTCTGTGTACCCTGAGATATGATAGGGATGCCATTGATTTTTTTGAGGTATCAAACTGGATGGAAATCAGTGAATTTCTTTCTATGAATTTTTGCTTGATTAAAATGGGAAATCACACAGATATACATATACTTATGTAGGAGAGTTCTGGATCCCAGGATTTTTTAAAATTGATAATTCTGAATTCTTTTGGAATAGTCTCAAATTTATAGAAAAGTTAAAAGTAGAATACAAAACGTCTTCCTCCCACACCCCCCAAACTGTATGAGAAATTGCTAACCTGACGCTGCAGTTCCTCGGGATACTCTCATGAAATGTATACTTCTACAAACAGTGTATTCTCCTATATAATCCATCATACAACCATCAAAATAATCACACTGGTACAGGACCTTTCATACCCCATGCAAACTTACCAGTCGTCCCATGATATCCGTTATATAAAGTAAAAGGACCCAAGTCAGAATCTCACACTGTGTTTGGTTGTCATGTTCCTTAAGTCTCCTTTAGACTGAAACACTTCTTCAGTATTTCTTTGGCTTTGCTGACCTTGATAGTTTTGAAGATTATAGCCTAGTTATTTAGTTTTTTCTGATGTTTCTTCATAATTAGTATCAGATTGTGCATCTTTTGTGGAAGGGAGTAGGGAGAGGAGGTGAGAAAAAGGGAGAAGGAAGAGGAGCAGCAAAAAAGGGAGGAAGGAGAGAAAGAGATTACATGTGCTCACACACATCAGGGAGATGAGATTACATGTGCTCACACACACACATTCAGGGAGATGAGATTACATGTGCTCACACACATCAGGGAGATGAGATTACATGTGCTCACACACA